GCTAAAGCAAGAGGACTGCTGTGAGTTTGAGGCCAACCTGAACTACAAAGCAAGACCCTTTTTGAAAAAAAATTCATACTATTAACTGTCCACTGCTTTTGTTGTTGTTGTTGCGGTTCCAGGGATTGAACTCCCTTGAACTCCGGGCAGGTGCAGTGCCACTGAGCTAAATCCCTGGTCCTGTCCACTACTTTTATGAAATACACTAAAAGTGAATTTGAGAAATGAGGTAAACCATTTTATTAGGTTGAATAAATATAAAATTTCTCTCAAATTGGAATTAAATTTTCTAAATGCTTACATACTTAATTTGGGGAATTGTGTCATTAAAGGTTAGTATCACACAAAGTGTCAAATAGTATCAAACTTTCAATAGCACTGTTACAATGTTTCTTTATATCTATGTTTTAGATCATACTAAGAACTGTGGGCTTCATTATGTAGATACTCTTAGGATCTTAAAAGACTAACATGGGAGTGACAGGGTCAGATACGCATTCAGAAGCAGAGTGGAGGAAGGAGTTGTACGCTGCATAAACAGCAGAGAGGCCAGATGAAAATTAAAAGACCTTGAACCTTCCCAGCTAGGTGCTGGGCAAAGTTAGTGGTATGGGATGCAGCGCAAAGAATAGATTTATAAGATAGAAAAATCAATTGGGTTTGGTGATTGGTTGGCCAAATTATCTTCCTCAAATATTCACAGTCTGCAGTTCTTTTGTTTATTGCTTTTTTCAGATAGGGTCTTACTCTGTAGTGCAGGCTAGCCTTAGACTCACTAGGTAGTACAGGCTAGCCTTGAACTTGTGATCCTCCTGCCTCAGCCTCCTGAGTGTTGGGATTACAGGTATATGCCACCATGCCTGGCTGACAGTCTGCAGTTATTTATGCTTCTTAAATTAAAAAAATTATGAAAACCAAAAGCTTTTTCATAACTGATTTGGCAACAAAACTATTCTGGCCTGGGGACAGAGCTCAGTGGTAGAATATTTACCTAGCACGTGCAAAGCCTTGGGTTCAGTCTCCTGCACTGGGGAAAAACCAAAACAAAACCACAACCTAATCTGAACTAGATTTATTTTGTGGCAGAGAACCTAACCCAAATTTATATGCAGTTACTTTCTTTTCTTTTTCTTTTTTGTTTTTTTGAAACAGGGTCTCGCTACGTAGTTGAGGCTGACCTGGAACTCACTATGTAGCCCAGGCTGGACTCAAACTCACAGCGATCCTCCTGCCTCAGCCTCCCGAGTGCTGGGATTACAGGCGTGCGCCACCACGCCTGGTTTATATGCAGTTATTTTCATGTATTCCTCTTTCAGTTATCTTGATACTACTATTTCATATATGTCATTACTGAAATATTAATTTGTTTTGTTACTAGGTGTTGTCCTAGCTGCTATTGGGATTGTTGCCTTATGTAGTGTATGTGCACCATATTATCTTTCTAAAATCCAAAAAAAATTCTGAAACATTTACCGTCCAGATTTCCAGCCTCTTTAATCATGAGCCTTGGCCAGAGTTTTTTTGGCTATTTACATAAATCAGATCCACCTGCAGATAATGAATATTCATTATGGTGTGTGCTGTGTGCACTCTGAAGGTGATTCTCAAAGTGTTTTAGCAGTGCCCTCCTCCTCCTCCTGCTGTTCTTTCTCCTCACCCCCTCCTCCTCCCTTGTCCCCCCATTCTTATTTCTTATTTTGCTTTTTGGTGTCGGGGATCAAATTCGGGAACTTGCGCTTATGAAGCAGGCACAGTGCCACTGAGGTAAATTCCCCACACTCATTAAAATAAGACTAAAAGGGCCAGAGATGTAGCTTGGTTGTTCCTCTGCCAGCCTTTTAAGTGCAAGGTCCTGAGTTTGATCCCTGGTACCAAAACACACACACACACATACACACACACACACACAGCTTCTTGAATTACTGTGTTGAAGTAACAGCACTAATTTGGTCAATAGCTGTGATGCATTTGTGGATGCCTAGTTTCATTACTGTATACTTATTTTATTAATCAGGGGTCAAGCTGGGTGTGGTGGTACATGTCTGTAATCCCAGCATTTGGAAGGCTGAGGCAGGAGGATCACTGTGAGGTCAAGCCAGCCTGGGCTATATAGTGAGTTCAGGGTCAGCCCAAACTACGTAGTGAGACCCTGTCTCAAAGCAAAACAAAACAAAATCAGGGGTCAGTGATCTTCTGGAATGAGTTTCCAAACCTGAAATTAGCTTTGAATTGTAAGAATGGGGCCTGGAAAAAAATTGAAGAGTTTTTTGTACATGTAATTATATGTTTTATATGTCATATGCACACACAAATATACACCTATAACTAGACCTTACTTTTAATTTTTTAATTTTAATTTTTTATTTTTTGGTACTGGAAATCAAACTCAGGCCTCACGTTTGCCAGGTAGGCACTGTGCTGCTGAGCTACATCCCCAGCCCTAGACTTTACTTTTTAGAGTTTAAATTTTTTTTGGCCTAGATTTTACTTTTTAAAAGTTTTAGATTTTCAGAAACTTTGAAAAGATAATATAAAGTTCCATATATCTCATACACAATTTCCCCTATTATTATCTTACATGAGTATAGTACATCTGCCACCATTAATGAACCATTAATCATATGAAAGCGTATGGTTTATTCACATTTTTTTAGTGATCTTTACCTGTTTTTTTTTCCCCCTCCTCTTCCAGGATCCTACCCACCTTTCCTCTTAAATTCAGTTGTCATATCTCCTTAGACTTCTCTTTTCTGGGACATTTTCTTAGGCTTTCCTTGTTTTTGATGATTTTTGAGCTGGGCGTGATGAGGAGTACTGGTCAGGTATTTCGCAGAATGCTAGAATTTGTGCAGTTATTTTGCTTATGCTTAGACTGGTTTTATGGGTTTTGAAAAGAAAAAACATGAAAGTAAAATGGCATTTTCATCACATGATATCAAGTGTACATGTAGTATCACCATGATTTATTACTGTCAATATTGACTTCTCTACATGGGCCAAGAAACTATATCTATGAGACATTAAGGCTGACCATTACAACATGGTTGGTCTAGACTTTATAAGAATAAAATTTCTTTTGTCCATAGCTCAGGACCATTTTGATTATTAAAAAAATTCCTTTTTTTTCTTGTCTTTTTCTTTGAGATAGGATCTTACTATGTAGCTCAGTGTGATCCTCCTGCCTTTGCCTCTGGACTGCTGAAATTACAACGATGTGTGCCACTACAGTCACCTCTAAAAATTCCTTGTTTTGAAAGTTTGAACCTTCCTTGGAAGTTACCTGTCCATGGATTTCTCCTTAGATCCTTTGTCCCTGGTCTTTCACCATCATCAGCTCGTGTGTGTGTGTGTGTGTGTGTGTGTGTGTGTGTGTGTGTGTGTTTGGGAGATACTTCAGTTTCTGCTAGTAGTGTTATAAACATTCTGCTAGATCTTCACAGTGTTAAATCACTTAACTGAGAAGCAACCTGATGCACTGAAAGATGTCAGGAGTTGTGATAAAACTTGGGCTGGGAAAAGAGCATAGAAGAACTAAATAAGCAATCTTGTGCATGTTCCATTGCCTGTCAGCCTTGGCTTCTTAAGTGGAGATAATAAAGAAACTTTTGTTAGGCTTTAGTGGTACATGCCTGTAAACTTAGCACTCTGGGAATATTATAGACAGCTGAGTTAGATAGAAATATTATAGGCAGTCAGATAGGGGTAGGTCCTCTAGAGAGTCAGGACAAAGGTGAAACATCTGTTGGAGACTGGACCTCAAGATAAAGACAAGATGACCAGACCTGTATACTTCCTCAAAGGACAGACCCTGGGCATGGGAACATGAGCTTGGTTTATCAGATAGCTAACAGGTTGGGAGAGATATTTCATCTCCACTATTATTTCCTGAGTCAGGAGGCTGAAGCAGAGGGACCCAAAATTTGAGCCCAGCCAGGGCAACTTAGTAATTTAGGGAGATCCTGTCTCAAAATAAAAAATAAATAAAGGACTAGGAATGTTACTCATTGTAAAGGTCCTGGATTCAACGCCCACACACCTCAGAAAAAATGAATCCTTCTACCCCCCCCCATTGTTAGGTATTAAACCTAGGGGCTCACATTACAATGCTAGGCAAACACTCTACTATTGAGCTACATCTTTAGCCCTTTTAATTTTTAAATTTTGGGACAGGGTTCCAGTGTGTTGACCAGGCTGGCCTTTAACTTTCAGTTCTCTTGCGTCAATCGCCTGAGTAGCCTCCCAACCCCCACAAGGGATTGATCCCAGGACCTTCACAACAAGGCTACATTCCCAGTCCTTTTTTATTTATTTTGAGACAGGGTCTCATTAAGTCTCCATGTTGCCAGTGGTGGGCTGGAAGTTGTCATCTTCCTGCCTCAGCTTCCCAGAGTGCTGGGATTACAGGCTTGTGTGCCCGGCTTTATGACATTTTAAAACTCTAATATTTATGCTTGTGAATCCCTGACAACATACATTTTTTGTGACTTTTTTCATTAGGACTTTGGAGGACCACACTTTGTCAATGGTTTAAATAAAAATAGTCACATCAAGACCCTATTCATAAAGAGATAATCGATGATAGGATTCCTATAATAGGAATATGTGGTAAAAAGGAAAAGGGAAAAGAAAGCCGGAATTTGAAACAGGTTCAGTGGAAATATCAAGTTTAGCCCAGGAGGCCTCGCCTATTCTGATTTTCTATTGGTTAAACTTACTATCAATCGTGGTTGTAAATAAATTTGGGACGGAAGCATGTTGTCCAGGGGTGGGATCTTCCTGTCGCCATTGCTAGGGCGCGGTGAGAACCCATTTTTTAATTGGCTAAAGCCTGCTTCTCCTACCTTCCTTCACCAGTTGCTAAGGGGCAGGACTTGTAGGCTTCCGGGAGGAACAAACACTGGAAGATCTCCCTACTCGGTTGGCCGGTAGGGACGGGTCTTGTTAGCGGATTGGCTGCCGTCGCTGCCTGTCTGGGGTTAGTTGCCGGGGAGAGACACGTGAGGAGGAGGCGGTGTGAGGCAACTATGGCGGGAGGAATCAAAGTGGTGGTGTCGCCGGCAGTTAGTTCCGGGTTCTGGGGCTGGGGAGCCCGTGGCAGTGGGATAATGAGGCTGCTCTTGGTCCTCTTCGGCTGCTTGTTCTGCGGCTCAGGTATCACTCAGGCACCATCTGCCAAGAGGGCGGGTGCCGAGGGGTTATTTTTTGAAAAGTGGGGCTTGTCCCGGGGGTGCGGTCTGTTCATCTGCGGAGGGGCGGCGCGTCTGCCGGGGGCCGAGATGTGCCAAAGAAGCTGCATCCACTAGTGGGTATCGGGACTGAGGGAGGGGTCAGCGTCTGGATTGCTCGGGGGGAGCTCCCAGAGTGGGGAGGAGATTTGAGCCTTTTGGCGAATTCTGGAAGGGAGATTTGGGCTGGGGGAGAAGCGGGCCTGGGGTCTTCGTCGAGCTGCCGGCGTCTCCTGGAATTCTAGGTTAAAGGGAAGAAGGTCCAGCGACCGTTCCCGACTAGCGTAGCTGCCCTTGAAGGGAGCATCCCATTCATTCAGCCCATTAGCAAACAGCTTCTCAGAGTATTCCTGTCAGGCACGGGCGGCTCAATAGATCCTTACACTTCCCAGAGGTACACTCATCTTAGGATCTTATGCTATTTTAAAGCCTTGATCCTAACAGCCCTATAGAACCGACCTGGAGTTATTGTAGTTCCGTTTCTCAAAAAGATACCAGTGCCATTCAGCAGCGATTAGATTTCTTTTGGAACTTTCTTCATTCTTTCAAGCGTACCTCTTTAGTACCTGCTGGATTGGGAAGGAAACTCCTCTCCAGTCCAGAAAACTTTGTGTGTTTATAAGAAAACTCCTTGTTAAACTCTCTACAGAAAGATAGGTGAGGTTTCCAAGCTTCCACTGGAGGGAGTTGAAACTCCAGAGACTAAAGATAGTTTTATCTTGAAAACACATTAAGCACTTTCACCTCTGCCTCTGGCTCCTGCCTATCGTGCTGTCATTTAGAATTGTCCTTATCCTTACCCACAGCATTGAGGTAGCCTCAGCATCCGAAGATATAGTTCCAAAACAGTCTTTCTGAAAACCTTTTTAGGGGTGTGTGTAGGGTTCTAGGTACTTTTCAAGAGTCAGGGTCTAAAATAACATTTGAAAGGCTATTTATTGTCTAAATTAATTTCTTTTTTTTTTTTTTTTTCACGGTACCGGGGATTGAACTCGGGTCCTTGCACTTGCAAGGCAAGCCACCGAACCGCTGAGCTAAATCCCCGGCCCTCTCTAAATTAATTTCTAAAATGGGATTGTCTATCCTGGGGTGGTGGCACACGCCTGTAATTCCACACTAGGGAGGCTGAGGCAGGAAGAGCACTGTGATTTTTGAGGCCAACCTGGGCTGCAAAGTGAGACTCCATCTCAAACAAACAAAGGGTTGTTTATTGTGAAGATGAAATGAGAAAATATTAAGCACTCAGTCTGCCCCTTTTCCTTTGAAGTTTTTTCTTTGCTTTGGTGTGTGCTGAGGATTGAACCCTAAAGTTTCATTATTGAGGAGGGGAATAGCAGGGACTTCTTGTCATGAGAGGAGTGAATTTGGAGTATTATATTTGCTTGGTTTTGCCTGATAGATTTTGCAAGTAGTGGGCTACAAAGAGCAATCATATAACAAGAGAAACTTCTAAAAGTGACCCCAAGATAGATTGGAATACTACCTTAAAAGGAGGCTAGTTCCTTTTTGCTGGAAGTTTCTTAAGACATTTGTTTATCAAAATAATGTATGTTTATTTTAGACTCTTTGGCAAATACAATTAAGTAAAAAGAAGTAGGCAAAACCATACTGTTATATTCTATTCAGAGGTGATCCATTTTAGCACAATTTCTTCTGGTCTTTTCCATATATTTTTATTCTTAAAGGCGGAGAGATTGAACCTGGGGCTTGGACATGCAAGATGTGCTCTACTTCTGAGCTATGCCCTCAATCCCTCTAAATCTTTTTTCGTTTTTTTGGTACGGGGGATTTGAACTTGGGACCTTGTGCTTTCGAGGCAGGCAGCGGAACCACTGAGCTAAGTCCCTGGCCTCCTCCAAGTGTTTGTAATTAAAAAAATTTTTTTTAAAATTCATACTTTCCTGTTGGTAATCTAATTCTCCACCTGGGACACCACCAAACTACCAGAGATAGTTTTGTCTCACTTGATTTTTTGTTTTGTTTTGTTTTTGGTTTTTTGAGACAGCGTCTTACTATGCAGTTAAAACCGACCTGGAACTCACTATGTAGCTCAGGCTGGACTCGAACTCACAGCGATCCTCCTGCCTCAGCCTCCTGACTGCTGGGGTTACAGGCGTGTGCCATCATGCCCAGCTCTCACTTGGTTTTGTAGCACAAGATTTTTTTTTTATTGAGTTTATCGGTACTTTGTACAGTACAGTTACATTCATCACTGGGATCTTGTACCTTTGCATGACAGATCTTGGTTCTCATTTTTTCCCCATACCCCTGCCCTCCCTTCACCCCCTCTCCCCTTCCCTATTTACAAAGACTTTGTTTCCATTTTTTCCTTTTCCAATATTTTTTCTCGCCCCTTCTTTCCTTTCCCCTACCCTTTCCACTTCCCCTACACCTTTAGCCCTTTTCTTAAAAATATGGAACGCTTCATGGATTTGGGTGTCATCCTTGCACAGGGGCCACGCTAATATCTGTACCGTTCCAATTTTACTAGAGCCAAATTATCCAATTCAGGATCATGTGTCACATTATTTGCTCTCTCTCTCTCTCTTTTTTTTTTTTTTTTCGTACTGGGGATCGAACTCGGGTCCTTGTGCTTGCAAGGCAGGCGGCATAACCACTGAGCTAAATCCCCAGCCCCATTGTTCCAATTTTAGTATATGTGCTGCTGAAGTGAGCACAGCACAAGATTTTTTTCTAAGTCATTTGAAATTCTTCATGAATGTTTATTTATATTATATTCCTTTGTACAGACATGTTATTTAATGTTTCTGGATTAAACATTTGGTTGGATATTTGTGGCGGTTCTAGTTTTTCACTGTAAGATAATACTGAAAATCTTTGTATATAAATTTTTTTTTTTTTGAGACAGAGTCTCACTGTATAGTTGAGACTGACCTGGAAGTTACTATGTAGCCCAGGCTGGTCTCGAACTTACAGCGATCCTCCTGCCTCAGCCTCCCAAGTGTTGGGATTACAGGTGTGCGCCACCACGCCCGGACATGTATATAAATTTTTTATTGCATTAGATTTTTAAAAAGATTCTCAGAAATGGATTTATTAGATTAAAAACTTAGGGATATATTTAAGATTCCTAAAACATTTTACTAAAATGCTTTCTTGAGTCACACATGGTGGCACACTCCTGTATCAGCACTCTGGGAAGCTGAGTCAGGAAGATCACAGTTTGAGCCCAGCCTGGGAAACTTGTGACTTACTGAGACCCTGTCTCAAAATTAAAATAAAAGGGCTGGGGATGTAGCTCAGTGTGAAGGTTCTGGGTCCTGCAAAAATAAACAAACCAAAAACCATCAAAAAACAAGACAAAACAAAATGCCAGCTTTCTTGAAAAATATGTCAGTTTTCACCCCGTCAGCAGTCTGCTTGAGGTATAGGCCCTTGCTAGCATTGTGTACAGTCTATGGGATGCAATATTTATATTGATTTGATAGACCAAACATGGTATCTAATTTACTAAGTACGTGTTATCTAATATCTGGTATTATTAGCGAAAGTGAACATTTTGAATTGATTATTAAGCTATTTTAATTTTCTGTATAGACCATAACATTTTGAGGGTATGTATATGCTTTGTTCTTGGGCTATTGATGGTTTTTGTATACTTTGAAAATAAAATTTGAGCATTTTATATATTAAGAATATATACTTTTATAATCTATTATAGAACTTTCTCTGTTTGCTCCCTTTTATCTTTTAAAATAGAAGATACATATGTGTGTGTGCATATATATATATATATATGAATCCAGGGAGTACTAAGCTCCATTCCTAGGCCAAGGATGTAGGATGTAGCTCGGTGGCACCACACCTGCCTGGTAAGTGCAAGGTCCTAAGTTTGATCCCTGGCCCCCCCCTCCCAAAAAGGTACTAAGGCTCTAGAAGGATTTGTTTTTCATGACTTTTTAGGGTCTCTTCTGGTCCTTATTACTCTGAATCACTTTCATCATCTACCTGATCAGTATTGTTGATTGAAGAGAAGGTGAAAAGTGAGTTTGTAATGATTATAAGTGAAGTTATTCACTTTTTTTTTTTTTTTTTGGCAATGCTAAGGATTGAACACAAGGCCTCATGTATGCTAGCAAGTACTCTACCCCTGCCCTGTATTCTCAGCTCATAGTTATTAATCTTTGAATATTTTTAGGTAAATACAATAAACTGGTTATGATTTGCTAAATTCTAAGAACTTCCAGAAGGTACTTTCCATAATGTTTTAATTCTATTTTTTAACACAGTTAACTCACTTTGAGGAGAGGAAGAAAGGTGATGTGACATTTTGTTATGGGAAGCACAAGGTACTAAAGCATTTGACAATTTTGTATGTATTTTTGGTCATTTATTTTAGTTCTTTATTTCCAAAAAGTTGTGGTACAGCTGAAGGCATGATTATTTCTGCAGATTATTGTCAGGGTCAATTGGCATATTACCCCCTCAGTGCATTTCCAAGGTGGTGCTGTTGGGTTACTGCAGAAAATGTTTATTTACTTAAAATTGTTTTCCTTAAGTAAATTTATTTACTTAAAATTGGTATGGAATTCAGGGGAAAAACCCCTAGATTTTAAAAGTTATTTCTGATACAGCTTCTTACCAAATAGTTTTTTTTTTTTAATAGTAATATGGCATAGCCAGGCATGGTGGCGCATGCCTGTAATCCCAGCCCTTGGGAGGCTGAGGCAGGAGGATCGCTATGAGTTTGAGACCAGCTTGGGCTTCATAGTGAGTTCCAGGTCAGTCTCAACTACTTAGACCCTGTTTCAAAAAAAAAAAAAAAGGAATATGGCATTGGAGAATTTTATTTTGGTTTTGCTTTTTCGAGACAGGGTCTTGCTTTGTAGTGCAGGCTGGCCTTGAACTGACTATGTAGCCCACTCTGGCCTAGAATTCATGTCAATCCTGCTGCCTTAGCTTCCTGAGCATAGCGATTATAGGCATGTGCCACCATGCCTGGTATGGAGAATTTTAAAGTTAGTTTAAAAACAGCAGTTCCCTTTCCTGGCATTGGCTTTTTAGATGGCCTGCACTACTTTCCCCCAAATTAACATTTTTATTAAATCAAAAAAATATTCCCTGCCAGGGATTTAGCTCTGTGGCACTGCTCCTGTCTTTCAAGGGCAAGGTCATGAGTTCAATCCCCAGTACCACCCTCCCTCCACCAAATTCACTGTAGGAAAGTCAGCAGGGGTTTTTGTTTTGTTTTGTTTTTCTTGGTACTGGGGATCAAACGCCGGACCTTGTGCTTGCCAGGCAGGTGTGGAGCCACTGAGCTACATCCCTGTCCCTGATGAGGTTTTTAAGAGAACTCAAATATGTATCTCTTTATAGAATATATGTATACATAAGCAGCATACTATTTATGGGTTTTTTATGGTTTTAGTTATTTTAAAGAAAGCATAAATATTGTATATTAGTATGGAATTTCAGCAGATCCACTCTTCATCCTTTATTCTGTAATTTGGCCCTTCTACAAAATATTTGAGGATTCCTATGAACAAAACTCATTTTGACAAAAGGTAGTGAAATATTGGCTGTTAAAAATTTCTACATTATTTTTGAGAGTAACAAATGAGGATGCAGGTAACTGTAAACTCAATTTTTAAAGTATAAAGGCAGCCAACTGTTCCATTTAATATTTGACTGTTATATTTTAAAAATTTGGTGACATTTAATCAAATCAGATAAACACTTCAGTCCTATATTGCTTTTCAATTTTTAAAATTCTTAATAGAAATTCTGTATATAACCTGATAAAGTGAATGCAGAGATGTTTATGTAATGCATATATGTATACATAAAATATATATACATAGAAATCTATAGCTTTGAATGCATTTCTTTAAACTTCCTATTTAAGTTTATCTGTAGACTATATTACCAACTGAAAGTTCATCTTAGCTAGTTTCATCTTAGCTAATGAGAAACACTGGCTATTGAAAATTCAAATGCCAAAAGAAGTGTTATATAGCTTTATAAATTAGTCAAACAAAGAAGATTGAAATGACCAACTTTACATTTCTTTCTTAATATTTACTTATAATAGCAAAAGAAATATCTCTATATTGAATAGGTGGCCCATTTTTGGTTTTTAATTAAAAAATTTAAATAGACTGAATTACTTTTATTAATATGTACATCAGGTATTGAAATGATGACTTCATGTGGTTTTTCTCCTTAAAGATGGCACTTGTAGTCTGGGATTTAGCTCAGTGGTGCCACTGCCTGCCTTAAAAGCGTAAGGTCCTGAGTTTGATCCCTGGTACCAAAACAAACAAACAAACAAAAAAGGTGGCACTTGTAGGTAAAACATGCAGAGATGTCTGTAGTCTTTAGATGTTTACTTGAAAAGATTTAATTGTATTTTGATACTGGGTTTCCTCATCTAGCTGAAAATTCACAAATTCTCCATAATCAAACTGTCTTTGATTTAGGTGACTAACGAAATTTCTGGTGATCTGGCTAGGATCTCGCCAAGGATGAGACACAATTAGGAAGCATCAGAGGAACTCTCTGAAATAGGTGGTTATTGTACTATTACAGGGATCTGGTAAGATTGGATTCTTGACACAAAGGACATTTAAAGGTGATGTCTGAGCTACCTTCTCATCACTGAGGCACAATACCTAAAACTCTAAGGAGGAGAGGTTTATTTTGTCTGAGTTTGTAGAGGTTTCAGTCCATAGTCAAGTGGCTCCAAGGCAGGGTGGCATGGCAGAGGAGAAACTGCTCGTGGCTTGGTATAGAAAGCAGGGATCAAGGGAAGAAGCAGATACATCTTTTCAGGCCGTGACCCCAGTGACCCTTTCCTTCCAAAATCACATTTAGCTATAAACTCATCAGTGGATTAATCCACTGAAGCATATCACATACCCATGATCTGGTCACCTCTCCAAAGCCCCACCTATGAGTGCATGAGGTATTGAGGGACATTTTTAATATAAACCATAACAGATGGGATGCCTAGAAGAATTTGTATTTTCTTGGTAAGTGTCCCTATTATCAGATATGTATGTTTCATTCCTACCATGTTACTGTTTCCTTATAGAATCTTGAGAAGTCTGAATTTTGGAATGATTGAAGAAACACTGTATTCATCCTCATACTTCTTACAAGATTTATAATGATATCTCAAAGTGATAAAACTTAATCTGTTTTGCACAGCATCTGCAGCTACCAGAAAACTTCCTTGTTTTCAAGAGCTAAGGCCTGTTCTGGACATGCTCTTTCTCATTTAGTCACATTTCTACTCACAGGAGACAACATATTCCACTTTTTCTCATTGCTGTCAGGAAATATTTTCTAAAGAAAACATGCGGACAGACTGGTTTGTTGGCCTGTGTTTGACACATTATTTGTATCTTTTTACCCTTTTGAAAATAATAACAGGTTTAAAAAATGTAGTGTTACATTACTTGGTGTTACAGAAGAGGATTACTAAGTGTGATTATTATTTTTGGACAAGTGTTTTGACTTGAGACTTTATTTCGTTTTTGTGTTTTTGG